ATTTAATTAAACATGTAATTATTTAGTAATTAGTCTAACTTGATCTAATTTCACATGAACTGACCTTTTCTTTTCATTTCTCCAAATTTTAATTTATAATTTTCATATAAGCATTAAAAACTACATTAAAATATACATTTATTTCTATTTTAACGCGGTGCATGAAACAGAAAAGATCCCTTATTTGATTAGTACAATACGTCCAGTCAATATTATATACTGTACTACGTGCGACGTCCACAATTTATTTCATATAACGTGATTTTGCGAATGACACAATTTAAACCAAAAGCTCCATAGGAAAAAAAGTTGATTTATCATATCGCCAGATGTTTTTAATTCCTTTATGATTTCACTGGACAAAAGGACACAGTTATTCGTTTTTTCTAAAATTCTATGCGATTTTTAAATAACATTTTTTTTACTTCGTAGTGGTCCTTTTATTAGGAATGTTAATAAAAAAACTTTCCTGTCAGAAAAAATTGTGGCGACCCGATTACCGGAAACGCATGTTTCTTTTTGTTTTGCCTTTTCACTTTCATTGATATTCATATACTGTTCTTGTAGTGTAAAATACTGATCAACTAAGGATTTCTGCTAGTTAATATATTGTTTTAAAGAGATAATTTTTGTATAATTTTGGTACCATTAATTTACGTCAGACTAAAAGACCATATACTTATTGATATGCTGCTGAAATATCTTAAATGTGGTTTAAGTCAAAGTGTCAAGTTTTTGAAAAGGACTGTTTGTATTTCAACAAATTTTCTTCTGTGAAACATTCTATATTTATTATCAACTTAATGAATCTGGAGATAACTGCTGTGCAGGATGTTTGCCTACAGAGGTAAGTGATGTCCAGAATGTTTTTACATCAGTCCTACGTGAAATGTACAGGGGCGGATTTAGGTAAAATGGAGCCCACCTATTAAATACAAGTGCTTACAATGCATAAAAATTTCAAAATTGTTTTTCGTTGAGGCCCCCCAAGTGTTCGGGGCACTGGTGCAGCTGCTCCTTCTTTCTTACCCTAATATGACCATGGAATTGTATCTTCCTTATCATACTGCGAAGTACAAATTTAGAATGACTTTCTCAAGCTTTGATATTTTTTCCATGAATGCCATTGAGTTGATTCACCTTATTTGTTGGCTGGTATTGCTAAAGACATTAATGCAAATTAATTGCTTCGCCTTATTTGTTGGCTGGTGTTGTTAAAGACATTAATGTAAATGAATTGTTCCACCTTATTTATTGGTTGGTGTTGTTCAGTCCATGAATGTAAACGAATTGTCCCACCTATTGTTTGTTGGCTGATGTTGTTAAAGACATTAATGCAAGT